ACCATGGGGAGGAATTGGGAGGGGAGCTGTTGCATTGTGGTAAACTGTGGTCAATGTCATGAGACAAAGTGTATGTGAACTGCTGTATGGAAAGTGAATCTGCTCTGTAAATCTTCACCCAAATCACAATTAAAAAAAAAGAAAGAAATCAAACAACATATTGCATTGGACAAATCTGCTGCAAAAGACTTCTATAAAGTGTTTAAGTGCAAAGATGTCCTTTTGATGACTAAGGTGCACCTGACCCAAGCCACGGTATTTTCAATCACCTCATACGCATGTGAGAGCTGGACAATGAATAAGGAAAACAAAAGAAGAACTTATGCATTTGAACTATGGTGTTCGTGTAGATTATTGAATGTCCCATGGATTGCTAAAAAATGAACAAATCTGTCTTGGAGGAAGTAAAGCTGGAATGCTCCTTGTCTCTCATACTTTGGTCATGTTGTCAGAAGGGACCAGTCCTGGAGAAGAATATCGTGCTGGGTAAAGCTAAGTGTCACCAGAAAAGGAGAAGACTCTCAACACGATGGATTGACAAAGTAGCTGTGACAGTGACTCCGAGCATGGCCACAATTGTGAGGATAGCACAGGACGGGGTAATGTTTTCTTCTGTTGTCCATAGGGTTGCTATGAGTCAAAACTGGCTTGACAATGCCTAACAACATGGGTTTTTCTCAGTTATAATCTTTATGGAAGCAAATCACCAGGCCTTTCTTCTGCCTGGTGAGTTTGAATTGCCAACTGTTAGGTCCTTGTTGTTAGCTACTGTCAAGTCAGTGCTGACTCAGAGGGACTCTGTGTACAACAGAACAAAACACTGGTCCTGTGCCATCCTCACAATCATTGCTATGTTTGAAACCATTGTTGCAACCTGTGTGTCAGTCCATTTCATTGAGGGTCTTCCTCTTTTTTGCTGACCCTCTACGAAGTATGATGTCCTTCTCCAGGGATTGGTCCCTCCTGATAACATGTCTTAAATATGTAAGACAACGTACTTAGGGTAGTAGACATGTTCAAACCATATGCGTCTCCCAGACAAACACACACACACACATACATACATGCATATTTAGAAAAAACAAAAAACCTCATTGCCATCGAGTCATTTCTGACTCATAGCAAGCCCCATTGGGTTTCCGAGGCTGTAAATCTTTACAGAAGTAGATCACCCAGTCTTCCTCCCACAGAGCAGCTGGTGGGTTTGAACTGCTGACTTTCCAGTTAGCAGTCAAGTGCCTTATCCACTACACCGCCAAAGCTCCTACACATGCATGTACATCCATACAATTTTGTCTCTCATATCCTGAAATAATCCTTAATGAAATCAGAGTGTCCTGATAAAGTCTTGAAATATGGTTTTCCTCATCAAGTAGGATGAGCCCTGTTCTATAGCCTGGTGCCAGGGTGTGACCCTGCCCAACCCACTTTTGGCAAAGTTGCCCCCTCTAGTACCTGTGGAAAGCAGGTGGTTAGAGGACCACTGGTAAATTGAGGCCTTGGGGCTTTCATTCTCAGTCGTGTGTTTCCATGAAAACAGGAACTGAAGTGCACAAAGCTATTGATATGGCTGTAGTCATGTGTTTGTCAGAGAAAATGCACTATCAGCTGTCAGATCTATCTCCTCCCACTACAGATAGAGGGGTGGGGGTGAGATGGCGCAGGAGGCGGAAAGGCGAGATGCTGGAACAGTCAGAAGCAGGGATGTGTTGGGTCCAGTCAATCTGGTAGGATGGTTCTGGAGCAGGCTGGGTGGAGTTGGGCAGGACAAGGCAAGGTGGGGTTTCTGGCCAGCCGCCCTGCAGCCCAGTGGGCTGCTCGGTGACCAGGTGCAGGAAAGGAGGGGCTCTGGCGATAACTTTTCTGTTGCCGTAGGAAGTCTCTTAGACAAAATGAAAGCTCCCTCAACCTGTAATCTCAATATCTGTTTTTGTGAGAGTATTTGGGTTTTCAGAAATGTATGGACCAGAAAAATTCTTCCCTTGAACAAGCATTCATTGAGTGCCTTCTATATTATAGATACTATGTTAGGTGCTAGGTAAAACCCTACATAGCTTCTCCTTGACCAGGACCTGAATTAGGACTACAAAATCCAAGATTTCTATTACATATCTTCTAAAGCAAATGAAACCAGAAACATGAAAACATGCTTGAGATTAAAGATCAGGATTCTCATTCTTTGAAAACATTTAACACCTTACAGCTCATTTAAGCCTGTTTGTTTTCCATTACAGAAGTTTCTTGTTCAACTGGGTGGCTCTGTTCTCCCAAATCGCCCATCTGCCAAAGAATATCATGACTTCTTACCTTTGGGCCAGCAAAGTCATCTACTACAATCGACTCGATGCATGGGTACTTGGCCTAGGCAGGAATGAGAGAATGAGGGACAGAGTTAGCTCCAACTACACAGAATAGTCCTTGATGAGCATCTCTGAGCCCCTCACACTGAGAAAACTTCCTGCACTCCCTCTGAAAAAAAGTGCCAGGGGAGGGGATTCTCAGCTGTGGTCCCTGCCCTGGTTCCAGCCACTAGCTACTACCTTCTCTAAAGTTGTTATATATAGTCTAACAAGTACCCACAGCATCACTCACCAAGTTCACCAGAACATCTGGAGAGATGGTGCCAGATAGCTTACTCACCTTCTTCTCTGTGAGGAGGTTCAAACTGTTGATGGTCTCTTTTAAGGCAATTCTGCATTTGTAGCTGTAGACAAAGTTGCCGGTACATACTAGTAGACAGAACAGAATTGGAATCAGTTGGGATGTGAGACCCATCAATAGATTTCTATTTGCAGTGACAATGTAAGACAATTAGTTTACCAGGAAACACTAACAATGCAGTTCTGACAAAGATATCTCTATATATAGTTTTTAAATTGCTGAAACCAAGGGAAAATAAGTTTACATTGGAAATTTTCATTACACCAGGTTGTCAGTCTTTTGGGGCCAATCAGAGCCTCTCTTCCAGGAGAAAAACTGCCTCACAGAAACAGGTAAAATGTTCCTGTGAAATCAGACCAATAGGAAAATGAAACCTTTTTTTAAAATTAACTACAAAGTTTCGGCATAGGAAATTACACCATAATTTGCTCTTTAGATTAATCTTATCAGCTCGGGGTTGCTGCTGGCTTCTTACTTTGCATAGAAGGAACATGTGACAGGTGTCCGAATTTGCTTTAGCATGGTCCTCCTGGGGAAACATAGAGTAATCTCAAGAAAGTTTGAGTTGAATGGAATTTCAAACTGGCTTCTTCCAAGTATGGGTGGTATCTTGGAAACTATCCTGTTGTGGAAAAGCCAATCGGGTTCTTTCTCCAGGGAGGAGGGAAGTAGTGGGCAAGATTCTCTCTTGTCTTCATTCTCAGGCAAGGTTTTCCCCAGGTCTAGGTCTTTGGAGCAGGACAGGTGCCAACAGGAGGGCCTAGGGGATCCATAAGATCTTTAACAATAGGGAGGCCCTAGGCAGAGTGTGTCTATCCCAAAGTTTCAGGAACAGCCACTTATTATTATTATTTATTATTGTGATTTGGATGAAAGTCCACAAAGCAAATTCATTTTCCATACAGCAGTTCATACATATTTTGTTTTATGACATTGATTGCAATCCTCATAATGTAACAGCTCTCTTCCCACTTCCTCCTTGTGGCTACCCTTTCCCTGAGTCCTTTCCTATGCCTTCCTGCCCTCTGAGCTATCTCCCTGTGCAAATATTACCTTTCTGATCTCCCATGGTTGATTGTTTTAAGGAGTGCACCTACCTGGTGTAAGTGAGGAATGGCCACTTTTAACTTAAACACATTCTTAGCTAAGTAGGAAAAAGAACTACAATCTTATTGATTTAAAAATCAGTTCTGTTGGTTAGTGCTCCACCCCCCACCCCATTTTAATCTAATTCATAAGAAGCTGGCGAGGTGTTCATCAATCACCTCATCCCAACAGTAAACGACAGGGCCCACTGTTCTCTTAGATGCCTAAGCCCCTCCCTGCGTGTTGACTCCTTCTCCCACACAACACTCCCAGCCTCTGAAGAGCCAGGCCGCATGGAGCAGTGGGGTTCCTGTGCCCTAGACCACCCTCTGCTTTTTTCTCCCAGAGCATGTTTCTAATGCAATCCCTTTCCTTGGTTTCTGGCTTAGTTCGTTTCCTCTGGAAGATCATATAGAAACGTGGATTGTTAAAGTGGTGCCTGTGCCTCGGATCCTGTCACCATGCTGTGAGCTCTGTGGGCGAAGAGACTCTGGATCATTATATCAGGATGGTCCTTGGGCCACAATGAGAGCCTTCCATTGGGACTTGAAGGAGAGTTTATGAAAAGAGCAGGTGGTTCCTTCAGGCAGAGGTGGAGACTCTGCATCCCAATGAACTACTGTTTGGAGTAAAGTGGTACACACTCATTTCCTGAAGAAAGGGTCAAATTAAGATAGGAGTGAATTTATGAGGAGCATAAATACACTGAAGGAACGATGCAGAATAAGTGCTTGAGGGAAGTCAGGGATGCACAGCACACCTCAAAGCCTTTGGGATTTAAGGGAAAGTGGGAGGGGAGGGAAGGAAAGGTATTCAGACTGGACCAAACTTCACAGGCTAGGGGCACAGTCCTCCACACTACTGCCCTGACTTCAGCACCAGCTACAAGCTCAAGCACCCCCGTAGCCCTCACTTCAGGCTAGCTGACTATAAATTACAGGGTTCCCATGAGCATCCACAGGCTCAATAATCCACTAGAACAACTTCCAGAACCCAGGAGAGCACTGTATTTAGGATTACAGTTTTGCTATAGCAAAAGGATACAAATCAGAACCAGCCAGAGGGAGGGACACATAGGACGCGGTCTGAGAGGGTCCCAATCATGAAGCTTCCTTGTCCTCAGGACATGTTACCCTTCTAGCATGTCAGTGTATGACAATATGCAGAATATTGCTAACCAGGGAAGCTCCCTGGAGCATCAGTGTCCAGAGTTTTTATGGAGACCTCATTACATAAGCATGATTGAATCATTGTCTGTGGTTGAACCCAACCTCTAGCTTCCTCTCCTCCCCAGAGGTCAGGCTGACATCACATGGCTCAAAGTCCCAACTTTCTAATCACATGGTTGGTTATTCTGGCATGACCTTCTCCCACCCTAAGACCAGCAGTGGCCAGCCCTATCCTGAATTATTTTGTGAACATAAACTATCAGGTGTGGACCTAGGGACCCACCATGAATAGCAGACATTCCTACCACTCAGAAATTTCCAAGAGTTTAAAAGTTAACTAAGGACGCTTGAAGGTGCAGATGTTCTTAAGCTGCTAACTGAATGGTTGACAGTTCAAACCCACTAGCTGTTCTACAGGAGAAAGATGTGGCAATCTGCTTCTGTAAAGGTTTACAGCCTTGGAAACCCTATAGGGCAGATCTACTCTGTCCTTTAGGGTCACTGTGAGTCAGAATCAACTTGATGGCAACAGGTTTTAGAGGTTAAGCTCTAGGAGCAAGACAAAGGTCAGACAACTCTGCAGGTGAAGTTGGTTTTTCATTACACGGGAGGATAAGTGGGATCTGGACTGTCTTTGAGGGGTAATAATAATAATAAAAATCCACTGCCATCCAGTCGATTCCAACTCATAGCGACCCCATTGGGTTTCCAAGGCAGGGAATCTTTAAGGAAGTAGATTGCCCAGTCTTCCTTCCACGGAGTGGCTGGCGGGTTTGAACCGCCAACCTTCTGGTTAGTATGAATGCCTTAGGCACTGTACCACCAGAGCGCCTTTTGAGGGGTAATAGGAAAGTCCTATTCAGGTGTTCAATGGTTCTTCTGAGCATTTCCTGAGGGTCAGGCCTTGCATTTGGGGCACTAGGGGCAAAACTGGTGAATCAGAAAAGGATACAATGTAGGAATTATGAAATCACAAGCACAATATGGCTTTTTTGTTTGTTTGTGTGTTTGGTTGATTGTTTCAATGGTTGGATGAGGACAAGGAAAAAAAGAGATGAATCTCCCAGCACATCAGGGAGGTACCACAAGGCCCCCTCAAAAGATAGAAGGAGAAAATGGACCCTCCTCCCCTATGGGGACAGATAGGTGCATGGACCACTGGGGGCCAAAGAGAAGGGCAGCTGGCCACCACCCCTGAAGGAGCCTCTCCAAACCAGGTGGGAGATGTGGGCAGCAATTAGTATGTAGAGTGGGGCAGGCACCAACACTCAGACAGAAGTCTCTGCTGGGTTGGCCTGTGTCGGTCACATGTTCCCTCTCCTTGGTCCAGGTGAATGCTGAGAACCAGCACCGCCCCTCTGAGGCCACAGAGCTTGCTTTCAAGCAGGGAAGCATAGCCATTATGAGCACTAGGCTTTGGAGTCCGTCAAACAAGCCAGTTGTCACCAGTGTGATCTTGAGCAGATCACTAACTCTTTCTGGGTTTCAGTTTCCTCACCTGTGAAATGAGAACAGTATAGCTTCTCTTCATGGGGTCCTTGTGAGGAGTGAGTGAGAGGGTCCATGGAAAGCACTTGGCACATCCCACCAAGTAAAGGGTAACTGCTGCTGAAGGCCACAAGGCATGGGGGTTAAAGAATGGACTCTGGGTCCAGGCAGCCTGTCAGTCCTAGCTGTTCTGCTTCCTGTGTGACCTTGGTCAACCTTCAGCTTCATCCATTTAAAAACAAACAAACAAACAAACTCACTGCTGTCAATTTGATTCAACTCATAGTGACCCCTCCTTGGGTTTCCAAGGTGGTATCTCTACAGAAGTAGATTGCCCAGTCTTCCTTCCACGGAGTCACTGGTGGGTTTGAACCACCAACCTTCTGGTTAGCAGTCAAATGCCTTAGGCACAATGCCACCAGAGCCCCCTATCCATAAAACAGGGATGGTATTTGTACCTGTTTTGTGGAGTTGTTCTAAGGAGTAAACATGTTTTTCAAGTGCTTAGAATATGTCTGGGACATAGTGAATGCAGTGTAAGTAATAACATTATTGTTGCTGTGAATCACATCTTTGAGTGGTCGCGTGACTGTGGTACTCTATTTGTCTAATTCAAATCTGGGCAGTACCAGTGGAGGTTCTGCCAGATGGACGTTTCCCCACACGTCCCTCCTGGGGAATGTGGGAAAATGTCCATTTGGCAAAACCTCCTGAACTTGTCTCCTTCTTAGTCTTTGAGTCCCTATCCTTGTTTATGGTAAGTTATGGTTTGTTTCTAAATGGCAGCCCTGATACTTATGTATCTGGGTCCATTGCTGGAAGCAGACTCTGCTCTGAGTACTAAATTTAGGCAGAAAAAGATTTAATAATGTAGGAAAGTAGGTGCTTATAAAAATGTCAGGAGGGCTGGAGGAGCAGGCCCCAGGCTGGGCCCAGAATGCTAAAGAACTGACCCCCAAAGAGAATGTTACTCCTGGAAATTCAGAGTATAATAATATATATGTGCCTGAGGCTGCAACCCAGAGACCCCAGAGCCACTGTCCCCACTGTGTCCCAACACTCAGAACTGCCGAGAAGAAAACTTCATCTCCCTGCAACCCCAAGGGATGGGAAAATGGTGTCTGCCTCCCTTCTGGCTCCAAATCTCACTGAAGAGCATTGAATTGGAGACCCTACTTCACATCCACACTCTGTCTCCAGGGGAATCTGAGAACCATGGTTGCTGGCATTCAGAGTGGAGATGCGCTGCAGGGAGAAGGGCGTGGAGCTTGAGCAAACCAGCCCCCTTTCCACCACAGCCTTTCACAGCCTGGTCACAGCTCCTGCAGACCCTGCTAACTGATTGCTGCCTGGTCATCCGTCCCCACGGTA